AAAAAAAAAAAATCTTTCACCTATTATACATTTACTCTTTATCCTAAATGGCTATTACTTTAGTCATAAAAACAACAAATGCAATACCCATCTTCACAAAAAGTTCACCTTAATAAATTGAACAACCATATTCCGATACTTCTCGTGCTCGTCCTCATCGCCGTCCAATTGATCAGCCAACGCCCTGCACCTCAGGTAAAGACTCCAATATAAATAATCAACTACATTGCAGGAACATGAAAATTGAATCCACAGAAAAAAAGGCTCACCTGAAGAAACAATTACCATCGGCAGTCACTTGAATTATCTTCAGACCTAACGCATCGAGCTGCCCCCGCAACTCAGACACGTCGTTTTGCTGCTTTCCGCCGCGCTTTTTCGGCTGTTCACGAGTCGTACAACGTCAGGAAAAACAAATAAATCATCAAAAATTGCGATTTTTGCTAACAATAGTAGAAAACAAAACAAAACAAAAAAAGTTCCGGCAGTACTTGCGGTTGTTTGGCTTGTCTGCTAGGCTTAGCTTTGTGATGCTTGGGTCTAGCCATTCTATGTTTTCTCTTGTGTCGTGTACCAGTTAAAGTTGTTCTGTGTCTCAGACTCAGAGTAGCAGTTTTCAAAATAAGGGTTTGTAATTTGGGGGAAAACAAAAGTCAATTGTCACTTTGCCTTATTTGAGAGTTTCATTATATATAATTTGTCCATTTAATTTGATGTAATAGAATTTGAGATTTTTTGGCCAAAAACAGTAGAATTGAATTTTTTTAACTATCATTAACTTCATGGCCATCCCAATTTATTTGACTTTTAAAGTTAACTAGTACAGAGCTCGTGCGATGGATGGGGTGCACAATTTTAAGATCATTTATTCAGCCTTATAATTATATAAATGAATAAAGAAAAATATACGAAATATATATAATACGTGACTTGTGCGAGACACATGATATATTTATTTGGGGATTATTGTACTATAAGATGCAATATTCAATAAAATTTTTACAATACACGAAAATAAATATAAATAACGTAAATATCTAAATACATACACGATATGTGGAATAAATAAACTAAATTGCAAATCTGAAAATATAATTTTAAAAAAATCAAAAATATATTTCACTAAACATGTACAAAAATATCTAAATACATACACGAAAATAAAAAAAATAAAATATACGTTTCAAATTTCAAAATTAAAACAAAAATTCACATAATTTGGCTTACAGTTTTATCATGCAGAACCAACTCGAGATATGATTTGTATGTGCTTCCCCAGTCTTGGAAAAACATTCTCACAATTCGAACTTTGAGCATAGGTCTATTAGACCTATTGACTTGTTTGATTAACTCAAATCCTTGATTCAATGTTTTGAATAAAAGACTGATTGGAGATATTTTTTGTTTACAGGAGGTTGATAGCGAGGAAGATGATGACTCGATATTTTGAGATTTGTAATTTATAATGGGTAGAGTAGATATATATTGTTGTTAATATTTTTATTAGAAAAATTGAATTTGAATACATAAATCGGTTTGAACAAAATTAGAATTGATTTCTATACAATTAGATAATAAATTAAGCCTTTTTTATTTTAGTAAAGATTTTACGTACTTTTTTTTACTTATCAGATGTTATGAGTTTTTTTTTTTT